TTTCACATAAGTATCAATGAGCCAGGAGTCATGGGAAGGCAGAGTGCGATCACCATTGGACTTGGGGGCATTCTAGGAAGCAGGAAGGCAGCTGTTGAAGACCCCACTGTCCAACACCAGGATTGCATGCTGTCAAGGACATTATTGAGTCAGTTCACAAAATTGGAATACATATGGTAGCTTACATAAAGTATCTTATCAATGTTAAATTTACTGACATTGCTAACTGTACAGTTTTCTGATAACATCCTTATTATAGCAACCCAGGCAAGTGGGAAAAGAATATTAGGCACCCCCAAAAGCTGGGTACACTTTAGAGAATGGTTTTTTGAAGGAGACAGTAAGACTTTTTAAAGCAAAAAATATATAGTTCTTAACTGTCTAATGAGGGTAATATACTGTAGGATATTGTCTACTATTATTTATTCTAAAAAGTAAACCACAAAATCATTAAACATAATGAACAAATGATTTCATTTTCATTTTTATAAATTTTAGTATTTAGTATTTGTTATTGTCTGTTAATCAGGTGATAGCTATGAGAGGTAAATTACTTCCATATCAAATTACAGCTTTTGTGATGATTTGAAGAGCTCACTTTGCATTCTTTTGAAAATAAGCGTTTTAGTTTAACCCTTAATTGCATGTTTTTTCAAAACTCTAAACTTCTAAAGACACTAAGAACTACTTCCTGCTTTTCCTGTTGCACTCTTTGCATTTATTCATTAGAAGGTATAAGAGTACAGTTAACTAGTGCTAATCTCTCATATCATCATTCATCAGATATTTACTTCCATTATGTTCCTTTCAAAACAACTTAATCAAAATTTCAAAACCCCTAGTATTTAAATTTCAAATACTAGTTACTTAATGGATCTATTACTAAAATTCCCAGATTTGTTTTCCATTCTCTCCTTTCTCCAGCCTGCACTGCACTCCCAGTTAGGGGGCTGCCAAGGGCGAGACAGAAGCTGTTCTGTCCTCCCTCCTGTAGCAAGTACTGGTTACGGTGTGGACCAAACCGCCTCTCTACCATCCCCAGAGGATGCCCAGCCTGATTTCATTGCCTTCTTCTTTCTCACCTCAGATTAACCCACACACTCCCGGCATGCGTGCCAAGGTGAATACTAGGGGTTCTGAGCCCCAACTGACCTTCACATTATCCGTGAAACACACATGCCACTTTAAGGCTGAGACTGAACCACAGTTTGGGGAGACAGACCCCCACAAGTATATCTAAGTAACAAGGGATGTGTTTTCTCAAGAAAAATCAGGTTTTCCTGTGAAGCTATGCGCAGCTGGAAACGGGACAGCAGTAACTGCTGTCAGTAACTGCAGCAGTTCTGGCCTCTGCCATGAGCCACATAGAGCGTGTCTCCCATGCTCTGTTTCCCTCCCAGGCAGCTTCCTCCGCTTATTTATAGTTTCCTTTCCCTGATAACTTGGCCTTGCACGGGGCTTTGGCTTGCCGCGACCTTTTCTACTTTTACTTCGTACCGAACATTTCAGGTTTTTTTCCAGCTGCGTTTGTTGATGTCCTGAAAATATAATTAGTGGTAGCCCTGTTTTACAAGCAGTCAGCTTCTATTCCTTTCATGTTTTTCTTTTACAATTTACATGAGACTGGATAACGCAGAACGTATAAGAACATTGAGTGTGTTTGATGAACCTCCTCAGTTATTATACCCAGCCGCATCATAGTTGCTGACCTGCTTCAGGAGGACTGCCTGGAGTGGGGGTGGGGGGTGGGTCACATGTTCCCCAGGGAAGTCCCTTCTGCAGGGCTGTCTCCTTCAGAGGAGACCAGTGAACCTGGCAGAGACTTGGACAGCCTGGGTGCAAACTACCTTCCTCCTCCCTACTCAGTTAACCGTTTACTGACTGAATTTACCCACTGTGATTGGTGTGGGAACATAAAGTGGTAAACAAAACAGATGCACTGCTACCTTGTGGAGTTTGTCTAACAGGAGAAGTAGGCATTAAATAACTACAGCAGTCCCTTAAATCCACAGGGGATACTTCCAAGACCCCTAGCAGATGCCTGAAACCGTGGATATACCGAATCTTATATATATGATGTTTTTTTCCCTATACATACAGACCTAAGATAGTTTAATTTATAAATCAGGCACAGTAAGAGATTAACAACAATAATAAAATAGGACAGTGATAACAGTATACTGTAATAAAGTTATATGAATGTGGCATTATTAAGTAAAATAAGGGCTACTTGAACACAAACACTGTGATACTTTGATAGTGATCAGATAACCAAGGTGGCTACTTAGTGACTAACGAGCTGGCAGCATATACAGTGTGAATATGCTGGACAAAGGAATGGTACAAATCCCAGTGGGACAGAGCAGGATGGCACAAGATTTCATCATGCTACTCAGTCCTTATGCAGTTTCAAACTTATGAATTGTTCATTCCTTGAATTTTCCATTTAATATTTCAGTCAGCGGTTGACCACAGGTTGAAACTGCAATGAGCAAAACCGTGGATCGGATAAAGGGGAGAGTACTGTGTACCATTACAGCTGTTGGGTGCTATGCTGTGGCTTCTCAGAGCAGTTAACATCCAAGCTAAGACCTGGAGGATGGTAGACTTAGTCACTCAGAGGAGGAGGAGTATTTTAGGTAGAGGGAACACAGCCCAAATCATACTCTGTGGTCAAGTAGTCTAGAACACTGTGAATGCTGGATGTGGCCATGCCTGGGGATTCTTAGATAGATGACTGTCACTCCCACGAGACCGTCAGCTCCCAGAGAGCAGAGATCACTACCTGGCTCATGGTTGACCATAGACAGTCTTTGATCTGCTTTCTGTTAGACTTTCTTTAAATTGAAGTATGATGTATCGCTTATAAAAAGGTCTGAAGTAACTTAATTTTTCAAAGGCTGCTTCCCCAGCCAGGCTGGCTGGTGACTGCCCTTGGAGAAGGCTCTTTGCCAGGTCAGCATATCCTCACCCTGCCTCTCCTGCTGTTCTCCCTGTTGGCTTGGCCTTTAATTAGAGAACCTGGCCAATGGGACATGGACATAGTGTTCCGGGAGTGTTTCGTATGGGCTTCTACAGAGATGAAGGATCACAAATAAAGCAGACTGTCAGCTCTCTAGAATCTTTGGAAAGTTCTGCAGAGATGAGATTTCTGGGTCACTGAAGAGTTACCCTTTGAATATCAATTTCATTTTAAAATATTTTAAGAGTATGACGCTGTCAGTGCCTCTTAAGGATATATATGACTTTGCATCTAAAACTAATGACTTCAGGCACCTAAAACATATAAGTCTAAGTTTTATAGTCCTCCTGTTTGCTACTTTATAATTAGGAGAGTGTTTGAAACTTGTAACTGCTGTCAGCACACTTAGCCTTCATAACCCCTTGCCTCTTCTTTCTAATCTGTCGGTACCGATAAACTGTAAAGTTAGAAATCAATGTAAAATTGAATGAATTGTTCATTCAGGTTTTCTTTGCTTGTTCATGTATGTATTTAAATATTTTTTCCTTTAACATATATATGTTCAGCCAAGCATTGTGCTAAGCACTGGTGTTGCAAAGCGGAATGTAACATTCTCCTTGCCCTCCAAGAGCCTTGTAGAGGAGCAGAGTATGGGACATTCTGGTGAAGAATGGGGCCAGTAGGAGCACACAGGAGGAGGACCTACACCGGACTGAGCTGCCACCTAATCAGAACCACGTTCAGAGTAAAAGAGCATGGGTGGGCCCCGTAACAACCCTGAATTTCTTAATCCGTGAAGTGTATAAACTTCATTGCATATACCTTGCACCCTCTGTTTTGGCTGCTGAGGCCATTTCCTATATCTGTGCTATGTTCTAGATAGTGAGAGAGCCTATCACGAGCCAAGCTCCATGTAGGTGAGGTCTTACCTGAAATCACTGGTCTTTTTTTTTTTTTTAATTTATATCCTTATTAGTGATGCTTTTGAATCATTTGGTTAAGGTGCTGATCCCCGGATCTCCCCGTTATGTAAAGGTTTATCTTTTCCCTGTATAGTAAGTAATTATAGGGTAATACCTTGAGACATGTGAATTTCTTGTTTCCCAAAAACCTCTCATTTAATGTTTTAGTCTATCAGTGAACCTTTCCTGAACTAGTTCTGAGTGTTGCAAAGGTATGATTTTTCTAGTTCTAACATTTCTTCTACTGTCAGTGTTCTATAAAGATCTTTATATTCCTCCCTTCCGCCCCACCCCCAATAGTATGGACTAGGCTTTTATTTAATCGATGCATTACAGTGCGCTGCTGCCTGTATTCTTTTTGGTGTGCACTCTCTCCCAAGTGTGTCTAGTTGGGCGCCCCATCGAGCTGGCGGCCCTTGTAGCCTTTGACACTAACCCTTGAGCACAGCCTTCCTTTTGACACAAGGTGTTGCAGCCCGCCTTGCACTGTCCCTGCCCCCGCTCCTGGAATCGGCCGTTTCTCCAGTAGCCCTTTTATTGCAGAATAAAATTTTAAAACCAGCACTTGGGCACCAGGAATGTTTACTGCGATGGAGATGTCACTGTGTCCAGGCTCTTTCAGTAGCTAAAGCCAGAAAATATATTAAAAGAGAAAAAAAAATACATTCGTATTGATATTTCTTCTAAAATTTTAATCTCTGATAAGGTCTTTTTCTTCTTGGAAAGGCAGCTTGTAGGGATGCTTTGAGTTTAAGAACCTTTCCCCTTAAAAAAAAAAAATTTAAAACCCTCTTCTGTAACTCTTATCTCTCTGGAAGAAGAAAGGACAACTGCATTAATCTCATGTTACTTGAGGGAAAAAAAATAGGAATTTAAATTAATTGCCTAAAATGACACTGTCATTTTATCGTGTTTGCTCTTTCTATGTGTATTTGTGCTACTTCTGCTATGGGAGGGGATCACTGGCAGTATCTCTTATACATTTTAATAAACTTTTTTATATCATACATTTGCTATGTTTCTAAAAGGCATTTTTAATGTTGCCAATATTTATAATTTATTCTGGTTACTTTCAGGTGCAGCTAAATCAAGTCCAGCATCTAAACCAGGATCCACACCTTCTCGTCCCTCATCAGCCAAAAGGGCTTCATCCAGCAGCTCAGCATCCAAATCTGATAAAGATTTGGAAACACAGGTCATACAGCTTAATGAACAGGTAACTCATCATCCCTGGCCCTGTGTCTGGGCGCAGTGACAGGTGTAAGGGGAGAGGAAGCAAAACCCTCTAGGCCTGGGATAAGGGGGGCAAGGTGAGGCACAATCAGTGATTGCAAGTAAGAATAAAAGGAATTGTTCGGGCAGATAAAATCGGTGGCCCATTATGAATAAAAGATGTTAGTCACAAACCTCAAAGCTGTACATTGAGACAGAAGGACAGATGACTCAGCCCCAGGTAAATGCAAGCTTGCAAGCCAACCTCCCCCTCCCTGTAGCTCAGCACTGGTCATGAGCTCCAGGCTAGACCATAGCCTACCTCCACTTCTTGCCCATCTAGATGGAGTTAAAAGCTTTAGGGTTGGTCCCCCTTCCTCCTTTCTTCCCTTCAGCAACTATTTGCTAAGCCTGTTCTATGTGACAGACACTGTGCTTGATGCTAATAATATATAACAGTAGCAAGATAGAGACCTTCCCTCCCCTCGTAGAACGTACAGCGATTGTGCAGGTTAGACAGTTACACAAGCTAAACCAAAAACCCTGACACTTCCCACAACAGCCAAAGTTTGTTACCACAGAAATACTGAACCCAATTTTGGGGTGATCAGAAAGTCCACAGTTGTATTTTAAGTAGAACTTTCCTTTTTATCTAATATTCTTCATGATTACAGTAAACCTATTGCCTTTGAGATTTTCTATATAAAAGCTTAGGTACGCTTTCTAGCTAACAAATAGCTCATTTTGCCAAAGATTATATATACATAGTTTTCAAAGTAATAAACCAGTTGGTAGGGAAGGGCTCCTTGCAAAAGCCACCTACCCTGGTCCTGAGTTAGGAGGGGAGGGTCTTTTATCCTGGCTTCTCCCACCACTGGGAGAGGAGCCTTTGAGGTCCTCAGGCTGTTCCCAGCTGGGCTGGCTGGGCCATTCCCCGTGATTAATCTGATCTTGATGAGCCAGCAAGAGTGTGGAAACCGTTTTTGAAATAATTGTATATTTGCAGTCAAGAACCTAGTTTAAAAGCAGGCAGTTGTTTAGCGAGGGTGTTTCTTTATAATTCTGATCACTTTAATGAAAAAGGTGAAACATTAAGTCATCCAGTGGGTGGGACTTTGATTTAGAAACTGTGGAATGTTCTTATTACCTGCTGAGTCTCAGTTTGAGCCCATACAGCATTTCTAGTAATGAGTTCTCCGATGAAAGGCAGTTAGGACAGCCTTAACAAGCCTTGAGCCACATGCCTCAGGCTGCAAGCAAATGGGGTAAACATAAAAAGCATCGGGCATGGGTCCGTGATACTTTAGATTTATAACTCTTTTCTCTTTAGGTACTCCGATTCTGCTACCTTCATTATCTCATGTTTCTTCATGGTTTGGCTCTTCCCTGTCATCCTCCTCTGCCACACCCAGGTTCCCAACCCTCCAGCCCAAAGTGTGACCACATGGGAACCCCGAGGTGCTTCCTGCCCCTCTCTCCCTTACAGCCTTAACCAGCCAGCCCCACTTTTCCTTGAAGTGGGCTGTGCTTCCATTAGCTCTGCGGTCACACAAAGAACCCCATGTCCCCAAGGGGTATGACCTTGTCCTACCATCCAGATGCCACTCTGGAGAGGAGAGAGTGAGAAGCGAGGAACATTCTAGTGGTCTTCCGCCTCCTTGTTATAATTCCCTCATTACTTCCAAAAGGCTTCACTTCCCTGCCTGCCCCCTGAGGCATTCACTTAGAGCAGTGTGCCTGCCCCTCACCTCCCGTTCGGTCAGAGGGAAGGTCATACACACCCTAAATTGCGAGCCGCCATTCAACTAGCTAGTGAGCTCTTACTCCAGATCCATTTCCATGGTTCTCTGTTACTGCTCCCTCCATTTTCTGTTTTTGAAGCCTGCAGGGTGTCACCTTCAGGGTGTCCCCTGAAGCTGGCAGGGGGCCACAGAGGCATCACTGTGTTAGATCTGAGGACACTAATACAAGGGAATGGCTGAGTGAAAATGCCTGGGCTGAAGAGTGACTTACAATAGCAATAGAGAAAGCGACAAGTGCCATAAACTTTAAGAATCTCATTTACTCAGCCTCGTGCCTTTTTTCAGGCAGTCTCCCATGACGTACTATGGAAGTACCACTGGTGCTAGATGATTCCAGTGATAGAAATGAATCAAAAGACATCACTAAAATAATTAGGGACAGTTTCTAGAAAGCAGGTTAGCAAACAGGCAGTGGGGTGGAGTCACTGCTGTGCTCAGGGACGGCGGGAGGGCAGGGGGAGGGGGGGCGTGGCAGGTGGGGTGCAGAGAACGGGCATTGGTTAGCCCAGGCAGACACTGTGGCTCGGACTGTGAGGCTGGAAGGACCCACAGTGGGGACACTGAGAGGGGAGAATTGGGAAAAGAACTTGTCCCTTCCCCAGCATCCCCTCCACTGCATAGACTTCCGCTGTGACTTGTGAGGGGGCAGGGAGGCATTGGGCTTTATGAGTGGGACTGCGAAGATGGAATTTCAGTTGCCAATTGATCTTTCATCATATAATTTAGCTCCTGTTGGTTTTTACTAGGGAATGTTTGTAGCTGTGCATCTATTACCTAATGCATCTGGAATACCACCAAAGGCTGACTTGGGCTGGGTATTTCTACAAAGGCTCAGCTCTTTGCTCATCATGCAGACCAAAGCACTCTTTAGAGGCAGACAAATCTAGTTTTTGTGAGTCAACTGTGTCCAGAGACCTTCCTTGCCTGTGCAGGGGGAGCTGGCAGACACCAAAACTGCCACAGATCCATCTGCTGGCACCAGTTCAGGCTTCGGATGGATTCTGTGGCCAAGCCCGGGGAGGGCGTTGATCTGTGTTAAAGCAATGAAGGCTTTCTAGAATAAAGGGCGTTTTCTTTCTCCTGGAACTCAGGTTGCTGGTTACCTTCAATTTTTACCAATGTCCAAGCAATTATATTATCAGAAATAAGAGTTAAATGTTAGCAAACGAATGTTCTACTGCTTGGTGAGCAGCTACATGAGGTCATCAGCGAGGTGAACTCTGAGGAAACAGCATCCCTGGGTCTTATAGGATGGATTCGAGTTTGTGAGGTGTGCAGGAAGGGCTGGACACTGTGTGTGCTCAGTACATTTGAATGAATCACTGATTTCACACAGATAAATAGTGTGTACAAAAGCCCAGAGTTATTAGAGAAAGAAGAAAAATTTCCATTCCAAAAGTAATGCTTGGAAATTCTGTTAAGAGCGATTTCAACATACAGAAAGATTTCACCTGAAGAAAACCATGAACGATTTAATTTACCTTCTAAAGAATATTGTCTGCATAAATATAAAATGCATAAAGGATAAAAAAAAATGTCGAGGGG